AAAAAAAAAAAAAAGGTTGCCCCATCCTAATCTGCTCCCGTTGCTACATAAATGGCCAACTAAATTAAATGGCCAATATTTCAGATGCTATGATTTACGACATTTCTACCAGAAAATCAAGCTGCTTTGGATCTTATGGTTCTTTTCTACTTACCTGCTTCATAGGACGGAGGGAACCAATTGTTTTCCATCCACTGAATGCTGTCCAATTTGGGATCTCATTAGGCTCAAGTAGGATTTGTCTTCCCAAGAAATTGGATCCTTCATAAGCTATCCATCTATAAGAGAGCAGGAAAGAGAACAGTGGAATACTTCAAAACAAAAAAGCAATCTCTTATCAAAAATACCTGCTATTATGCCTTATTGGGTACATTCTTTATAACTTCTAGGTTTGCAGATTTAAACATTTTTTCTTAACAGAAAAAGCAGGGACGTCCAGGAGAAAGGCTGGATTGGAGTGAGAAGATTTGGATTCCAATTAGGATGCTGGTTTCCTTTCTTCCAAAATGAATGCAAAGTTCTCTCCAGCTCTGAAATTCTGTGTTCCTTTAATAAGCTAAGTCTTTTTTCATAGCATTTTAACATTTCAAAGGCAGACAGTAACACCAGTTTATTACCCAGTAGAAAACCACTCTCCTGCTTCTGGGTCATTATCACATGTCCTTCAAGGCCTGTTGGGATGGCTCCAGCAAACTCTCCAGATGCATCTTCTCCCACAACTCCCTCCACACCTTCCCCAAGGCCACCAAGGACTACTTACAACTATCCACAAAGGCCCCCATCTCATTCTTATACTTCAAGGCCTGGTCCTTTGTAAATGCTCCCAAATACCCACGTCTTCAACTCTGGCTGCATTAAAGTGTGTAAATGTGCACAAGGCCTCGAGGTGAGTATGTGAAGTCTTACTACTTATTCAATGGAACACAGTCATGCCCATTCCTTTACAGATTAACCATGGCTGCTCTTGCACTATGACCATGGCAAGTGGAGTAGTTGTGACAGAGACAGATGGTCCACAAACTGAAAAGACTATTTGGCCCTTTGCAGAAAAAGTTGGCCTAGCCCTGCTTTAGGTGGTTACCAAGCAAGATGGACAGCTACGGAGGATAAGCTGGGATGGCCAAGAGGACTTTAAATTTTCAGCAGAACTTCCACGAACAGTGCTTTAAGAAAGTATGTGTGGAGGATGAGGTGGCTGCCTTGCTTGTTCAGACAAAGCACCTGGAATTGCAGCAAGGGTTGCCCTGCTTTGGACCATGGGATGTGTAACCTTGGAGACAAGGTGCAGAGCACCAGCAGCAGGAAAGGCAGTCTGCCCATCAGGTGGGCCAGTACTCAGGAACAGGTTGCTCCAGGCTTTAGGACACAAGCTACAAAGGGCTGGTGCTATGATGCTGTGGCAGTGACTTGAGCCCTTCAGTTTTCCAGATGAATTCCTTAGGGAGATGTACCTCGGTAAATATAGGAAAATACATCAACTTGTACATAAAACTGAGGGGAAGAGGGAATCACTGAGTAAATCTTGATGTATTAAAACTATGAAAGCCTGGGTAGTAAACTGACCTAAACTGACCTCTACTAGGAAAAGTCCACACTGCTCCCCACAATTGTGATCAGGCTTGGCCAAATCATGGATAGATGAAGAAGATGGATGACCTCCCTCGACCCCTTCTTGCCCACACAAATCTAAACCATCAAACCAGTGCAGAGGCAGGACAGGATGACCACGGAGGGCGTAGCCACTGCTCCAGCTTCTCTGATTCTTTAAGCAGGCAGGGAAGTTTCAGTTATACAATCTAGGCAAGATTTTAAGAAACTGTACCTAATTATATATTGATCTACACGCATTCCGCAATTGGAAAAACTGTGTGGGATGGTGCATTAAATCATGGCCCTCATTACCATCACAGATCCAAAGATATGGGATAACATGGGGTTTAAAACAAAATAAACTCAACTTGTCACTGAGGGTAGCTGGCTGTGCATTAAGTAGTATCCTGTAAGCCATTTGTAGCCTAGAAATATCTTCAGACAGCCTTCACTATTCCTTACTCTATGTACAATTCTCTTACAGAGAGTCTGGAATAGTGATAGAGTAGGTGGATAATAAGGCAAAGAGAAGAAATAAAAATATCAAGGTAAAACGGCACCAGTTTTCCAGAAAAGAGTGAAATAAGTAAGGTGAGGTGAGAATTTTTCGGAAATGAGTCAAATATTAATTTTACTTGGGAATGTAAAGAAATAAATAAAAATGTTGTGCAAGTCCTATATTACAGGGATGTAAAATTCAGTTCAAAAGGACTAGTTAATTGGTAAACAATATATTGGACTATTATGCCTAAAGTAAATCAATTTATCTTAATGAACACTGAACAATGTGAAATGCTTTGCAGAAGAAATTTTAACCTGTTATACATGTGAATAATGTAAAAGTCATTTTTGAAATAGTTGACAATTTTCAAATTGACTTATATTCTTGGCTTTCTCTTTCATTATTTCCAGACATTTAAACAAGCAAAGCTGATTATCACATAATTTAAAAGCCATAATAAATAAAAACAGTCATTTTTATGTTAACCATCGAGAGCTATGTGTATTTTTTTTAGCTGACTTTTCCTCCCAAAGCAAAACCGTGCAGGAGCAGAGGCTGACTTATTTGCCAAACTCTTCAGAAATGGCCTGAGAGGCAGATTTTCCAGGAAGCAAATAGAACTTCAAGTTCGGAGCCCCTCACTTGCAGGCCTCTCACCACTTTTGATCTAAATAAATATGTAAAGTTGATACCTAATTTCTGTATCCATACTTTTTAATTTCTTTTTGTATAGGCAGCTTCCCAAATTGTAAAAGTGAAGGAGCCACACAATCTGGATCCACCCTGAGTGAAACCTAAATAAAAAGCAACACTGGTAGGCAGGCTAGGTCAACCACTGTACTCCACATGAAAATGAGTACCCTGCAGGGAACCATTCTAGAATAAACAAGCTGTCAAATCAAAATACAACAGAACATTCTTAGTCCTGCAAACAGTCACTTGCCTTAATTAAGCAGAAAATGGTCTTAATCAAAGTTACTGACTAAATGAAATTTCTCCTGAAAGAAAAGTGGGCTCACAAGGGTAAATTCATCTGGTCAACCTACTCTACGAAACATGCTCTGACTATGTGGCAGCCCTTTTTTATAGGGGCTCTTCCTCCAGACCACTGCATACTACTGCCTACTGAGCATGGTACCCAGTCTTCTCTTTATTTAAGCAGAAACTGCTGTTACTACATCAAGAGAGAAAGGAGTAAGACCATCATCAGACCAAAACAACAGAAGTCAGGGAATAAAAAGCAACTGTGCAACTCTGTCCTAAGACAGACCAAACCAGACCAAGCCCTTCTCCTATACTTACAGTCCACTTTTTACCCACACAGACTGGGTGTAGAAGTGAAGGTCCTTGTTCAAAACAGAGTTCACAGCCTCTTCTAGATGTAACTCTCTTCCCTCACAATGTTCCAGAGCAAAAAGGCTGATAGAGGGTTCTTCAAAAACCTAATAGCACAAAAAAGAGAAAGCATCACTATATAGGCAGCCATACCTCAGCGACATCCCAGTCAGAATGCAGGGTGCCCCGGGATCCACTGTAATCTCAAATGCACAGAGTCTACTCCTGTGCCCTCTATGGATGTTATAGTCAAAACTGAGCTTGTGAGGATAGATTCTATTAATTTTTGTTCAATTTTTTGTACAATAAAATTGAAGTTTTCAGAAAAGCAATCATAATTTCATAATAAAAATGGACACAATAAAAAGGGACACCTGGATCCAAATCATGTAATAAGGTCTTGTGATGCTGTAGTACAGATCACATATTGGTCCTTCCAATGCTTCTAGCTGGCAACAGAATAAATATGGAACAAAATGGCACCAGGAGGATATAGGCACAGTCATTAGGAATGCAAGACTGTATGGCTCTGGGCTCTTAAAAACATTCCTAAATGCTTCTAGCTGGCAACAGAATAAATATGGAACAAAATGGCACCAGGAGGTTATAGGCACAGTCATTAGGAATGCAAGACTGTATGGCTCTGGGCTCTTAAAAACATTCCTAAGAGGGAGAAAAGGGCATTTTTAACTTAAAAAAATAGCCAGAATGCATAAGGACAGGGGTGACTTCTGCATTAAAAGTATGTATTCCCTCAACCCATCATGTCGGACAACAATAGAATATTGCTCTTTTTCATTCATTAGTCTGTGCAAGAAATCATGCTGACAGACTTGGGGGATGAGAAATCAAAACAAGGCACCATGCTTGTGGTTGGGGTATTACTAACTAGTAGATAAATTAGGAGAACTGCACATAATTGTAATTACAGATATTGTAACATAATCCAGGGTAGAAAAGGGTATGCCTTGTGAGAGTATTCAGTAGAAAGCTAGATTATTTTTAACAGAAGGGAGCAGGAATCAAGGAAGCTTTGTGGATGTGGTGGTGTGTGAGCTCAGTCTCAAAGGATACAATGGATTTGGAAAACTCAGAAGGAAGAGAGGGAAGGCACTTGGTGCAAAGCAGCAGAAGTGCATGGGACGGGTGAGGGCAACAGCCAGTAGATCCATTTAGATAGAATACAGGGTCCCACAGGACACAGTGCCAAGTGCTCCCACTGTTTGATGCTGTGTACAGAGGTGCCTGCTTCTCTCCTACACTGACGGCACAGACAGATTTCTTGTCAATAGGGAGTTCTTGCAGGCTTTTGAATTTAAGGACTAAGATTGGGCTGAAGTCTGTAACTTGAGAAGCAGAGCAAGCAGCACAGACCGTGGATGGTCAAAGAACAGAAAATCAACAGTCCAAAAACAACTGGCTCTCACAAATGACCTGAAGATACAAGTGCATAAGAGAAAACAGACTTATGAAAGAGATATTTTTTGCAGCAGTGTTTGGAAAAGCAAAGGATGGGGAATGATTTAAATGCCTATCAAGAGGAGACTGGTTAAATAAATTATGGTACATTCATAGAGGAATCCTATATTTAAAAATGAGGTAAAAAAGAATGAAAACCTTTCTTTATGGAGAGATTGCCAAGATATATTCTTTAGAGGCAAACACAAAGTGAAGAATAGTATAAAAGAGCAAATTTCATATGCTACCGTTTTATTTATGCACACATACATACATTTATGCTTATATACACATTTAAAAAATCCTAAAGTAAATATAAAACCAGTAACCACGACTACCTGTTAGGAGGCTAGCATCTGAGAAGATAAAGGGCATGAGTGGGAGCAAAGATTTTCACTGAAAGCCTTTTGATACTTTTTGATTTCTAAGCCATGGGAACATATTATTTATTCAAAAATTTAAATTGGTTAATTATTACCCACATGTTTGCACTGAATATGTGTGTGTGTATATGTGTGTTTATGTGTATTTTTTTAAAATGGCCTCCAGGAAATATATCTGACAACAACATGAGTGAAGAATAGAGAGAATGGAAGTAACAATACCAGTATTCTGGTAGAATATTTGAGATAAAAAAAAAAAAAGAACAAGACCTAAAATGAGGGACAGGGAAAGGTTTACAATAAGGGATGGCGGAAGTAACAGTACCAGTATTCTGGTAGAATATTTGAGATAAAAAAAAAAAAAAGAACAAGACCTAAAATGAGGGACAGGGAAAGGTTTACAATAAGGGATGGCCAGGAAAACCATCACAGTGATAAAATGCTAAGGCAAAGAAGTGGGAAAAGTAAGCAAGCAAAAAGATGTGACAAAATAGTGGCTGGGGGCATGGCGGTATAATTTGTAATGTATAAGGTAATAAGGAGGAAAAGCATGCCCAGGAGCTAAGTAGTTATATTTAAAACTGGGTGCTTTAAGAGGCAGGAGAATCTTAACAGGTATGTCGAACATACACCAAACCCTTTGATCTGCAGTTCAGGGAAAAGAACAGGTGTAGAGAGGAAAAGTTTGGGAACTCTCAGAATCTGGGTGATAACTGGAGCCATGGGTAAGAAAATGGAAACGGAAGGATAGAACTGTGCTGCAGGAGGTGGAGGTGACTGAACAAGTGAGTCAAGAGAGGGGATCCCAAAGACAAGCTCTTCATATTATAGAAGAAAAGGAGAAAGCAAATTATAGGAGAGACTTGTCCCACAGCATCGAATTCTTCCCATGTTGAAGAGGAGGGTGACTGCGATGAGTTGGTCTGGGTTTGGCAATCAGGAGGTAGCTGGAAACCTTTACAAGAACTGTTTCAGTGGCGTGTCAGAAATGAGGGGTGGAATCTGGGTTGTAACGGCTGAGGAGTAAGTGGTGAGCAATGGCAGACAGGGCGTACAGATTATGTTTCAGAGAAATTTGGTGAAGAGGAGGAGGGAAGTAGAGTAGCGGCCTATGGGAGGAGCATGCTTGTGGGCACAGCGGAAAGTGGCAGTGGAATAGAAAGAAGCTGAACAATGCAAGACAAGAGGGATGGTTCCAGGGAAGGAGTGAGAGGCCCGATCTACTGCTGCCCATCAGTTCAGAAACTCTGGCTGAAATTGGCCCATGAGTGAAGGGATTGCTTTGGCAAGAATTAATTATACTTCCTCTGAAATAAAACATAGGAAAGGAATGCTAAGATCTTTCCATTTAAAATAGGGAAATGAGTGAGTAATTTTCTCTTCACATTATGTGGCCAAGGTTGCCTTGCCTGCTGATCAGGGAAGGTCTGAAGCACTGTCCAACAGAACTTTCTGCAGTCATAGAAATGTATACCTGAACTCTCCAATAGGGCAGCCACTAGCTACACATGGCCTGGAGCACTGGAAAAGTGGCTCATGTGACCAAGGGACTGAATTTATTTTGTTTTATTTTATTTAAATAACCACATGTGGCTAGTGCTATAGTATTGGATAGTGCAGATCTAGGGATTAGAGGATACTGGGAAAAAATGTAAAAATCACTGCATGCAGTGAGACAGTAAGCTAAGAATAAAAAGCCTGCCCAGAAGCATTGATTTTCCCTCACTGATGGGGTCAGAAAAAGAAATTCACCCCTAGTCACTGAGAGTAACTGAGTGACTGCAGACAAGATTAGACAACTCTTCTGCTATATGCACAATAAAAATAGGAAGCACCCCAACAGTTTATGGAACAAATGTACTCACAGGAGTCTAGCACAGCAGTAGGTTAGAGATGTAGCCAAGAGCAGACTCTAAGTTACCCACTGAAATGGTGACTGAATATGAACAGACAGTAAAAATCCACAGGTAAGCTCCTGTCTGTATTGTTAGACTTTTTTCAACATCTTCACCCTCAGGCTTTTAAAAAAGCACTTCAGCTTATTTCTTTCCACACATCTACTTGTTGAATTACTGATTAGTGAGGAAGAGCAGACAGGCAAGGAGACTGGACAGGGCTCACAATCAACAAGCAGCAACACACTCCCTGCAAAGAGCTGCTGTGGTAATAGGAATAGCCACCTATACTGAAGGTATTTACTGGTCACATGCTGGAACTGTTTTATATCCCAGAGGGGGGAAAAATTAAAAGCCTATTATGAGAATGCGATCTAAATGCTAACCATTATTTTAAGAAAAATAGAACCTGTGTACATTTTTCCTCTTCCTGTTAACTGAATGCTTACATAGACATTTTTCAAAAAGCTTCCATTATCACTCAAACTCCATCAAATTCATTCCCTTGACCTAGCAATTCTACATCTAGAAACTTATCTTAAGGAAAGATGAAAAGTGTAATGGAGGGGACCACAAAAATCGATTAAACCTCTATTTAAAAAAATAATAATGCACGGAGATTGAGAAAAAAATTGTAGAAAATGACAGATAATATTTTTTAAATTTTAAGAGTTTATAAAAACCTGTAAGACACTCTAAAGTCCCCATTAGATGAATGAGCAAAGAACATAAGCCAATAGCATCTACCAAAAAAGAGATAAAACTAATAAACCAATGTAGAAAAAAAAAATATCCCACCTCTCCATTAACAACAAAAGGATCTCATCATGTAGTCCAATCTATCAAATTTTTCATTTGAGAACATCTATTGTTTCTAAGCTTAAAGGTTAAATATTAAACCCTCTAGAGGTTTTATATATATGTTTAACTAGACTTTTTTCTATTTTAAATTATTTTAATTTAAATGGTTTTAATTTATAAATATACTTAAATTTACAAATGCACTTGATTTATAAACGTACTTAAAAGTTAGAAAGATTAGAAAGGTCAACATAGTGATAATCTGGGCAGGATGGTGGGGGGCAGTTAAGAGCTAATCACTCAGAAATTAAGAGTGCTGAAGAACTATTTTAAAATAAAACCTTTCTGATACGTTTCCCAAACATGAAAGTAGGAAGAGATATAAACTATTAATAAGTCTTCAAAACTGAAAGTGACAGAGTAATCTGAACTTTCCAAGGACAACAGAAATTGCCAGAATTTGATTACAATTTGAACTCTACAAATGGCTTGGTCTCAGTCCATGTTAACTTAGAAGACAGCCAACCGTTTGTGGTTAAAAGCTCTTCTTAGGTGTCAGCAGTAACAGGA